CGTCGGAAGCGATCACGACAACCACTATCGACACGCCAAGTGCGAATAATGCCATAAATAAACACACCAACACACGCGACACACGGTTCAGCCAAACAAGCAAAGAGGAGGCCCCGCTCCCATTTATTTGCACACCGTTCTCAATTATCGACGAGCTGCTGCTGTATGGGTGCAAATCAGCCGGCACGTCGCTGTGGAGCGGGAGGAGGGGGGGGGGGGTGAGAGGGAGTAAACAAACGCGGTCAGCCTTTATGACCACTTGGCACCTCGCCGCCGTCTTCCCTTGGCCGTGACCACGACGCGACGGTGCAGCTGTGACCCGCGCGCCGACCGCGCACGTTCTCATAGTTATGGCGACCGCATAAGGGAGCGACCGTCGTCGAGTTTCTCATACCGATACATCTGCTGACGGCCCAGCCCTGCCGCTGCAGCACCGCCGTGGCCGCCCCCGCTTAGGGACGAGCCCCGACCATGCGGGTGCTTGCTGAGAGGAAGGTGGTTATTAGAGTGAAAAGGTCAGATTCGGTCCCTCCTCCTCCTCGAGCCCGACAGCCGGCAGCATGCTGCGCAGCAGCAGCAGCAGCAGCAGCGTGGCTGCGGTCGCGAAGGTCAGGGCAGCGCGGCGCTTCTCCTCCTCAACACGACGCCGACGAGAAATCCCTACAAAATCCCTCCTCAACCCCGCGACAGCCGGTGATCCCCCGCCGCCGCCCCGCAGCCAGCAGCAGCCGCACCAGCTCCTTGCGGGCGTGAAATTCGCACATCAGCCGATCACCCGCACGAGAGAGTGAAACAAGGGGCAGCAGCTCTCCCCTGGTGCACAACAGCAGCATGCAACTTTGCGCGACCCCTTTTGCGTTTCTCTTCTCTTTCTGTCGAACTCTTTCTTTTGCATTTTTTTGTTGTTGTTGTCGTCTTTTCCTCCCCGCGTCGTCGAAAATTCGCGCAGCATGCAGTATAGAGTATTGCGCGGGCGCCACGCTGGGTGCCACCCTGGATTTCTCTCCCCTCGCCCCCGCTGTGCGACACACTCACCCCCCACCCCCCTGTAGCCCGACCCTGACCCTTACCTGCGCAGCGAAGCCGAGCGTTCTGGCGAAAAGTAAGCAATCAATGGCGAGGCGGCCACCTCCTCGACGACGGGACTTTTTCAATTCGAGGAAATCTGTCCGCGCCACACAGCGGCGCGGCGGCAGTTCCCATACAGCGCGATAGGGAGGAGGAAGCTCTCAGGTGGTGCGACGGAGACAGACAGAGACCCCCATTCATAAAGTTCGCACCTCGGTGTCTGCCAGGTCCGGCCGGGTCCGTCCGTCCGTCCGTCCGCAGGCCGGGGGCCACGGCCGAACAATGAGAAGGTGAGAAGGGCGGTGTCACCCCCGCCCCGCCCCGCCCCGCCCCCT